GAAGACCCTCTTTCTTGAACTGGAGGTCTTGCAGAGGCTGAGGTCCTTGGGGGGAGTATATATGCCTGCAATGCTGCAGAAAGCAACCATGACCTCGCCACTTCCACTAAGGAATGGAAGGGCAATGGTAATGTCGTAACAGAGTTAGCGATCGCCTTCATCTTTGCTGCAATTAGCAGAAAGCATCCATCCAAGCCGCTGCAACTTGAAGTAGTAGGCTGAGGAGGGGATCTCGTTCTCTTTACGGCAGCACGTCTCCTATCTCCAGCCATCAAAACAAAAGAAAGGATCCAGTAGAAGCGATCAGGAGTGGACATAAAGTCTTCGGATTCCATGGCGGCCGTCAGGAGGGAAGCCACAGGCATGGCCAGATTGGCAGGATTACCCATAGGATGTCTTGGAATAATTCTCCTTGGTTTTGTCATTCAGTCCCTTGCAGTCCATACAAGTGAGAGCAACTCCATAGCGAAGACGACTGAGGCCACTCAGAATGTCGGAGCAGAAACTGAGATTGTTAGCAGGCGTCTCGGAGATTACAAGCAAGACGGCAGCAAGCATGGAGAAGGGAACTTCAAGGACGGCAACAGGTACAGCGAAGAAGGAAAGTACGAGGATGGCAACAAGTATGGCCAGGACGGGAACAAGTATGCCGAACAAGGGAAGTACGAGTACGGCAGCAAGCATGGCCAAGAGAACTTCAAGGACGGGAAAAAGTATGGTGAACAAGGGAGGTACTATGAGGACGGCTACAAGTATGTCCAAGGGAACTTCAAGGAAGGGAAAACCTACGGCAAAGGGAAGTACGAGGACGGCAACAAGTATGGCGAAGGGAACTTCAAGGACGGAAACAAATACGGCGAACAAGGGAAGTACGTGGACAAGTATGAGAAGGAGTACGAGAAGAAGTATGAGAACGAGTACTACAACCACTATGACAACAAGTACAACAACAAGTACTATAACAAGTACTATGCGAATAAGCAGGGCATCAAAGGGCTAACGTACCACGACAGAGACATTGATGTGGACATTGATGTGGACATTGATGTGGACGTAGACTATGATGAGGACAACTGGAAGTATGACAACAAGTACAAGTTTTATGATGGCAAACACAAAGGGCAGAAGCACGGCGTGAAGTACATGGAGGATTACGGTATGAAGTACAGCCGTTACGATAAGAAGAGGTATGGCGAGAAGAAGTATGGCTACAAGAATTATAACAAGAAATACTATGGGAAGAAGAAGCAAAGCAAGAAGTATCATAAGTACAACGACAAGTACGGTAACAAGCATGGTAACAAGTTCGGTAAAAAGTATGGTAACAAGCACGGTAACAAGCACGGCAACAAGTACGGTAACAAGTACAGCAGCAAGTACGGGAAGAAGGGTAATTATTAGAGGGACTATGGCAAGAAGAAGGATGAGAAGGGGCATGATGAGAAGGAGTACAACACGGTTGACCCCGCAGTACGATCAAACACATCTTACATAAGTACGACAATGAGAGTTACGACGGGAAGTACAAGGACAAAAAATGTGATGATCAGGAGTACAACAAGGGTAGGAGCTGCAATAAGAAATGAATGAACAGTGATTCCGCTACAGAAGATTATGCTTTCCGAAAAGTATTGTCGCAGTCATTCATTGGAAGTCTGAGCAGAAGAGAAAACAAACGTGCATAAAGTGACAAGTCTGTCCCAGTGTGTGGAGTGCTATGGACACATTGTATAAGGCCTGTTTTTTCTTTTCTTTTTCTTTTCTTTTAACTGAACAATTCCATTAAAGGCTTGAAAGCGGGTCTGGTGTCCCTCACATTGAATCCGCAGACGTGGGGGGATGATCAAGGCACTTTCGGCCAAACCCATCGGATTCCCCAGCTCCAGGCATTAAGTGCTCGTTTTGTAACCACCATATCTCTAACTTTTGCAGCCTAGTTCCTACAAATGTTAGAGCAGTCTGGCGAAAACCTACCATTCTAAGTATTCTAGTCAACCTTACAGTGCTTACTCGACCCAACTTTACCATCCATTCGTCAGGGACTGAGTATGTACCACCATCCTACCTATCTGCAACTCCTAAAAAAAAAACACTGTAAAACCACTCTGAAAAGCCAAAGTATCTAACCATGGACATCCCCATCCCCATCCCCAGTGCTTCTCTATTACAGAGGAAACAAATGCCAAACAATTAACAACCAGTTCCCTCTGTACAAAGCGATTTCACAAAAAGAAGGAAGAGAATGTCGATTGTGGGGAACGGCGTTCTGTCAAATCCAATGTGACCAAATCTGGGAAGGCTCCCCATCTGTCACCAAACCATTTAAGAGCTTTAGCTGTACATCCCTTCTTCTGGACCTGGTACTCCCAATCAGCTGTACATCCCTTCTTTCGGACCTGGTACTCCCAACCAGCCAGAACCGTCTACTTTATAGAATACGTGCTCTCAGCTCTGATCATTGGTGGGTTAAGTCGTTCCCCTTTCCTCACTGCCGAATTCCAGAAGTCCCAGAGGATCCACAGAATGGCACCCCTGATGATCTCCTCCACATGAACCATATGTTCCGAGCAGCAGTCTTGTCTTGATCTAGATGCACCACCCACTGGCACCCCATAACACAAAATGATTGTCCCATCAGGTGTCAGATGCCGGAAATTGCGCAAGGCCTTTTACGTTTACACTGAGGGCAGACAATATGTTTTTCAACAAAATATGGTAGATTTCAAAAAGACTATCAAAAGAATACAACAATAGAAAGGTTCCTTGTAGCTCAGTGGTTAGCGCGCAACCTGTGCGACAGATGGAGTGGCGATGCGCTCCAGGATGATGGTCGAGTTTTGTGCAGATCTTATAACACATGTTAGTGAAACAGGGATCACTGGGAAAGTCGGCAAACATAAAGTGGGGTAAACAACAGAATAAAAGCTTGATTTTCTCATTCTAGCTGCAAAGATATAGGATATTAGGGGTTTTGGGTCAGAGAGTGGGATGGAAAAAAAAAAAAAAAAAAAAACCCTCTGTTCAAAGCGTGTAGACAATGACATTTCATTGCCAAGCAAATTTTGGCACCAAATCCACAGGGGTTCATAACTCCATGAAGTTCATGTGTTCTGACATCTACCAGTGAGCCTGGGTGGGTGGCTTCTACCTTCTCCATGTTCTCATGAAACTCTTTTTTTTCATTTTTTTTAATGCTCTGATCTATTTGTGGGGAGCAACATGTGCTGGGAACCGGGGGCCAGCATCCCTTATACGATTACAAGCGAGATTTCAGAATAAGATATGAAATTCCTGAACAACTTCAAACCTCACTTCTTCCAGACCCCATATTCCAAGTGACGCTATAAACCTAACCGAAACCATCCTTAGCTGTGTTCTCAATACCAGGCCTCTACCCGGCCTCACGCCCCCAACATGCTGGGCTATAAGGTGGCACGACCCACCCCAACTCCGACCATCGTTGTCCTCATCCTGTCCTCTTTTTTTTTTCTTTTTTTTTTGAGGACTCAGGAAAATTTTGGAAAAACATGGATAACTGCTGACCTATTGCTAGGCTACTCAAGCAGCAATTACGAAGTCAAAAAGGAAAGCCACAGAAGTCCTTCCGATGCTCAGAACCCCTGGAATCCCTAACAAAACATTCTAAAATTCTCTTACACTGTCTTATTCCCTGCCGAGCTCTCCCAGGCCTCATGCCCCCACCCTGCTAGGTCACAGGGCAACACGACTCGCCCCAGCTCCGGCCAGCGTCATCCCGACAGCAACCCTTGGTTTTCCCATAGAATGCCCACCCCAAGGCATCCCCAGATCTCTCTAACCAGGCCTCACGCTCCTGCGATCAACAGGTTACAGGGCAACCCCCCAGCACCAGCCAGCGTCCTTCTGGCATCGAAAAACCGCAGATCCCTGAATATAACAGCATCAAAGAAGGTTAAAATGAGTTGCAAGAAGTACCCAGAGTCCTAAGGCATTCTTCGAGACCGCCAAGAGCAACAGAGAACAAAATGAGAACATCTTTTTTTTTTTCCTTTTTTTCCTTTGAGTTACCCAGGCCATTACCCGGCTTCGGCTGAGAACAGTCTGAGTACAGGATGTGATTCAGAAAACACAGGGAGGAACTAATGAAAAAGCTACCACAGAGGTCCTACGAATGCTCACAGCCCTCAGGATCCCTAACAAACCCTTCTAAAACTTTCCGACACAGTCTTACTCCCTGCCGAGCTCTTCCAGGCCTCACGCCCTCACCCCGCTGGGTTACAGAACTTACAGGGCAACACGACTCGCCCCAGTTCCGACCAGCGTCGTCCTGTCCTCATGCAAAGTATTGTGCGAGCTCAGCGTTCCTTGTGAACTGCTAAGGAGAAAAGTGGAAAAGCATACAAGATTCAACAGCTATACTACGGGCTGAAGCAACAGTTCCAGCGCCCGTTCTAGATCTATAACTGTACCTCCAAGGACAATAGATGGGGTGGAAACAGGTCAGGAAACTCCTCTGTGGGCCTTAGGGGGATGTCGGGGTCTATTGTCAGCCAATCCTTGAATTGCAGTCGGTAGTCCCAGTGCGTCACTGTCACACTTCCTTGTCCCCCTTTCCCTTCGTTCCTGTCCTCAGACCAGCACACCTCCGCCACCCATTCCCCCCGTTCTCCACCCAGCCATTGTTTGGAGAACTGCCCCAGCCGCTCAGAGATATCTCTGGGTCTGTGGAGGGAGTCTAAAGTCTGTTTTACTGCTGCCCACCTGAGAGAGTTCCAATTGAAAGTGCTGTTTGAACAGTTCCAGTCTCTCCTCCCCCTCTATCCCGACCCGATCCAAGGCCAAAGTGCAGTGGTGGCACCACAGGGTCCATAGGACCACCCTTCGGCCTAGGTGGAACATGTTGTAGACAAAAGTCTCCCCCTGAAGGGGTGGATAATGACATGTCAGAATGGCCCGCCAGTCCCATGGCCACTGATGGCCCGGGACTATTTGCCACGACACTCTATCCCACCATCTCCAGGTAAGGACTGCCGCCAGACACTGCATAAAAAAGTGCTCAATTGTCTCGGCTCTTTTTCTTACCGGGAAGCTCGGCAGGCATCTCGGGCACCATGGAAGGGCCCTGCGCTGCTGCTCCAGCTGCGAGTGGTCAATCACCCAGTCATTGGTGGGTAGGCACTGGTGTACGATCTGCCACTGCAGGGATGTGATTTTAGCAGGCCTGCAGTTGTTGTCTCGGAACCACCTTATGGGTGTGAGAAGCTGCCTATCCACGTTGAGATGTCTTTGCCATCTGTCGATCACCACGTCCCTCAAACCCCGTTTGACCCGGTGCATCCTGTATGCAGCTTTCACCGGGAGGTTAGAAAGGGTTCTGGGCCTTGTTTGTCTGGGAATGCCATGTGTATCTGGGTTCCAGACTCACTCCTGCGGGTCGAGGGGGAGTTTTTCCAGGGCCATCTCGGGCCAAAAGGCCCGCAGCTCTTCCCCTTCTCCCAGGGTCCTGATACTGTATAGGGCCTCCCTCAAGACCCATTCAGAATGGTCACAGCTCCCCACCAATCTGCCATTTCTCGCTATGCTGTACCATTCTATGAGCACATCGTCCGGCCGTACCAGGTGTACCAAACCCACCCTGTTGGCTGCTCCCTCTTGGGCCACCCAGTCATCCTCCTGCAGCAGAGGGCCCCTCCGTAGAATAGTCAACCATCGTATGGGTAGGGCCTCCATGATTTCCTCCGTGCTGCTTCAACATTGCAGCAATATCGCAGTTTTTCCTTCATCTGTCATGGCCCTTTCCAGTCCCCATTTCCCCATCCCAATCCAAAAGAAAAGTCCATTAGAAACACATCAAAATCACAATCCACCACGAAAAATAACAGTGGAAAAGGAAAAATAAATTTTGCCACCATCCCTAAAAATAAATTATTGACACTTAGGATTCCACCAAAGATAACTGAGAAGACCTGTCACGGTCTACAGCATCCAACGATAACCCCCTGGTGCAGGCCAAATGACGCTTGGATATCGAAGGGTCAAGGGGCCAGACTCCCTGTTGTTTTATCAGGGGGCAATGAGGCACACCATGTGCCGGCAGCTTGGCCCCAGCCCATACGTGACACCTGACACACGGAATGCAAGGGGGCCAACACACACAGAGTCATCGTCTACCACAAGTATGCAGATAGAACCAGGGACAACACCTCAGCAGAGCCCCCCCATCACTTCCATCCCCTGCTTCACGTCTCGGCAGGGACAGTCCTCGAGGGTGCCCACCACCTCCGCCATGTCTCAGCACAGACAGGGACAATGCTCGATGGTGCCCACCGCCTCCACCACGTCTCAGCAAGGATGATCCTAGATGATGCCCCTTGGCCTCTCCCCACAAACAGAGGGACAAGAGGGACAAGAGGGCAGCCGGGGCACAAAGAAATACGCAATCTAGCGAAGGTTAGGAAATGCAAGGGGGGATAACCCTACTAAAAGAAGAGTTCACTTGGAAGCCTGGAGATTGGGGCCTACTCAATGTACTCATCATTGAGACCCAGCCAAAGAGAGCGTACCGGTTCATTAGTCATCTTACAGGATCAAGCCACAGGGCCAAGTTCGTCTCGTACCCGATCGACAGCCAGAATCCCCTGGAACCAACAATCCTAAACTCGGACCCGCAGAACGAGACCTTAGAAACTTTCACACTCAGGAAGGTCAGGG